GATACATTTGGCATTATAGGGTTAACATTTGGGTTTAACATAATGTTCTAAATTGCATTTTATAGGCTAGTGACACAAATTAACCCGTTAAGTTGAGACTAAATAAACACATCTGTCCAATAAAGGATTCTGTCTGATTTTTGTTTTTCAGCTCTTGTCCCCCAGTAATGTAGCTGTATATGGAGGCTTGTGTGCTTTGGCCAGTTTTGATAGACAGGAGCTCCAACGCAATGTCATCTCTAGCAGGTGAGCTGTTGCTTTAACATTTTAATCCAAAAACATCCTGGTGATTTTGATGGAAAAAAAAGGTTTATATTTTTGTCACCAGCTCCTTCAAGCTCTTTCTAGAGTTGGAACCTCAGATCCGCGACATCATCTTCAAGTTCTACGAGTCAAAGTACGCCTCCTGTCTCAAACTGCTGGATGAAATAAAGGTCAGAAAAAATTATTGTTTGGAATTTTGAAATTCTGTGAAAGCTATCACAGTTTAGAATCGATTTCTATATAAAAAAAATATTTGATCAATTCCTGCTACTGTATCCATTACTACTTATAACATAATTAGGTTTCATAAATTCAAAAGTGTAATATGATTTGTTTATTATATCCCTTTAATTTCTGTCTTTCTGTGGGAGTGGAAGTCGATATATTCCAAAAAAGTAAAAAACAAACAAAAAAAAAAAATCCACTGGACTTTGTTTCCAAGTTTGAAGATGTTCTGCTTTCCTTTCAGGAAGCTTTTTTGAGGGGAAGCGAAACGTCTTCAAATTTGGAAACCAGTTAATTGTTTTTTAATTTTTTTGACGGAGAATCTTCTCCAGCAAAGTAAATATATCGGGTTGCGTTTTGTTAGGTTTATTCTTTATACATGATGTGCTTTGTTACTTTATTAGCCAGATTAGAGAGAGTAGAAGGCCTTCCTTCACATTGCGGATGTCACTGTGTGTAAGGAGGTCATCTAAATAGGACAGCCTTCTTGTCTTTTAAAGATAAACAGGATATGGGCACATCTTGGAGCCTGACTGATAGAGGAGAGCTATCTGTAATCCTGAGGCATAGAGGCAAGACACATATAGGTCAGGGCATTGATGGCGTGTCAGTTTTTGATACGGACAGCTAAGCATCCACCTGATGCAACACATAAGGTATAAGAAGCAGGAGATGACCTTGTTCTGGGCTCAATCTTTGTCGGACATGATTTTTGAGCCCGCAGCTGTGCAACTCCAAGCATTTTTCTCTGTCCTGTAACGACCTGATCTGGAATAAACTCTGTTACTTTTTTTACTCCTGTTTTTATAGTCCTTTTTATATGGTTTTACCCAGTTTAAGTTAAGCGTAGTAAATAACTTGCTCCCAGGAAAAGAACCAGAAGGGAATTCCCTAGGCGCAACTGCCTTCAAGGGGACATAACTTCCTCATAAAACAATTTGCTCTCTGTCCCTTTTTCTCTCCTCTCTTTATGTCTCCATTTTTTTTTTTTTTTTTATCCTGCCTCCTTTCTTTTTTCCCTTTCATTTTTGTTGCATTTTGAGATAATTTACTGGTAAAAACAATCAATGTATTGATAAGGAAAAGTAGTGAATCTTCAAGGTCTAAAGGGGAATTTAGATACTCGTCATTCCCGCTGTTGAAATTAATTCAAAATACTATGACTTATTTTTTTTAATCCATATTGTTCATTTGGTGTTTATTTCAGGATAACCTCCTGTTGGACATGTACTTGGCTCCGCACATCAAAACTTTGTACAGTCAGATCCGAAACAGGGCTCTAATTCAGGTGAGGCACACAACATGTTCTCAACTATAGTTAAGTGCTTCTTTTGTTTTCATTTTTTGTATGATGTGCTAAAGTCACTCATGTGTACCAGTCATCTCTGAAACATTATCCACAAAAGGAGAAAACAGTGAAGAGTTCTCCGCCTGCCAACGCACTCTCAAAGAAACAACGTTCACAGAAGGGTTAGGGTTCATGAAAGCCTCAGAAACATTATCACTGACCTCGGTTAAGGTCAGTGTTTATCGTCCACATTAACTCTTTACAGGGTTTCACTTGGTGAAATACTTTGAAAATCAACCTTTCAAGCCAAGAGTGCCATCAAAGGACAGGACAAAAGTCTTATTACTTCAGTAACATAAAAAATATCTATATTTTGATTGTAAAAATTAAGCTCAATGTAATAACTTGTTACATTTTTTCATTTAAAGTAGGTAATATATCATTCAAGGGCTCATCCAATTGGTCAAATGACATGTAAATCTTGTGCTTCTAGACCTTACTGAGGGATTGGGGGGTAACTTGCCTTGTAAAGGGTCAAGAAAGAAACTGAACAAATTACAGTTTCAGTTGAATAGAAATGCTCATCTCAAGGGTCACAAATGATGTGGTGGAAATAATCGGTCACCTAAACAATTACCGTAATTTTCGGACTATAAGCCGCACCTGAATATAAACCGCAGAAGCTAAATTGCATGATTTGTACATATACAAGCCGCATTGGACTATAAGCCGCAGGTTTTTTACACACAAACTGTCTTGCGCTTGCAATGTCTGTCTTTCTCGCTGTCGTTCTGTCTCGTACCTCTCGCGGTAGAAATCTGCTTCCGGAGGACCTCCGAATTCCCACGAAAGCAGTTACCGTACTTGTGTGTTGAAGCAAATGTGACGTCAACATGGTGGATGGTAAAATCCATAGATTTAGGTATTACCCTAGTGGCCGTTAGCTGTAAAAGTCCATAGATAAGCCGCATTGTTCTACAAGCTGCAAGGTAGGTTAAAATACATGCGAGTATGTCTATTTTGGTCGCAGGTGTTTTAAAAATAAATGTGACGCCATAAACGTTTTTTTCAAAATCTAATAATTTGAAAACGACATTTTTTTGTTCTCAGTTTTTTCTTAATCTGATAATAGATTTGCTGATCTGAAAGTTATGTGAAAAAACTTAGCTAAGCAGGTGACTGATTTCACGTTTGTTTTGTTTGTGTTCAGTATTTTAGTCCCTATGTATCAGCTGACATGACGAAGATGGCTCAGGCTTTCAACACCACGGTTGCAGCTTTGGAGGATGAACTTACCCAACTGATACTCGAGGGCCTCGTCAACGCACGCATCGACTCTCATAGCAAGGTTAGAAAAAAAAAAAAGAAATCTATTAAATCCTTAACTTACGCTCATTGTTTTCCTGTTAAATCCTCATAATCTGCTGCTGTCAACAGATTCTTTATGCAAGGGATGTTGACCAGAGGAGCACCACGTTTGAAAAATCTCTCCACATGGGAAAGGAGTTCCAAAGACGAGCAAAAGCTATGATCCTTCGTGCCGCCGTGCTCCGTAACCAGATCCATGTGAAGGTGAAGATCATTTTTATTTGCACCTTTAAATCTTGTTCTTCTGAATTTTCTACAAAGTCCAACATTTGTGAGCATTCATTTAAAAAAACAAAGGCTTTTGGAAAGTATTTAAGAAAAATCCTCACAATGCAAAACTAATTAATCACAATTTTGCATTTATCTACAACAATGATAGTGCTTAACGTCTTTTTATCAGGTTGTCTGGAAAATGTAGCTTTTATAAACCTCAGCAGTTTTGACGAGGAAAACATTAGAAATGTAAACAGCTCAGCAAAGGTTCCTGAGTTTACCGTACAAAATGATGGAACTGTGACAGTCAGCCTCTCTCCTCACCTGGTGATCTGCACTCACTCTAATTGGTTGTAGGGGGTTTGGGAAATGCTTTCAGAGGCAGCAAGAAAATGGTGTTTTCAGAGAACCAGATGCAAACAAACAATGTTTGTCTTGGAAAAACATGCTTGAGCAGCCTGTGTAGGTACCAGATTTGCTCTGGGCCCTTTCCCTTCTTATGACGTCATCATATGGTGACTCAACTCAGACAAACTGTATTGCACCTGTTTCTCGTGACATTACGAGAATAAAGTCGAGACATTACGAGAATAAAGTC